TGCAGGCTTGGGCTACCCAAATTGATCCAATGTTTGCGTGAGAGGATAGTGACATCAGATGCAGTATCTATTTGCATTCTACACAAATAACCGTTAATATTAAGAGTAATAAATTTCCTCTCACCTGGTTATGAGCTTTGGCAGGAAGATATTAGGCTCAATGCATTGGTACTGGATCTAGGAACAGGCTTCTTAGCACTTCTGGATTGCTTTGGCTTTTTCTGTAGGCAAAAGCCATCTTTATGACCGATGACTTTACACTTCCTGCATCTATGCTGCCTAAATGGGCAGTTCCGTACATAGTGCCATGAGCCGCAGTGCCAGCAAGCAGAAGGTGGATTCATTTTGGGTTTTTGGGCAGAATTGGAGCCAGGTGAACTGGGTTTAGCATGGGCAGACTTATAATGATTAGGTGGCTGCTGTACCAAATGAATTTCAGATCGGCTTGAACTACCACTCTGAACTATAGTCAAGTCTCGTTGTAGGTTAGTGAGACGTTGGTACTCATTAGCCATGTCACTAAGGGTGAGCTTCGGATCTTGCTCTAACCGACATAGTAGCCTTGTTCTAATGTCACTGAACTTACTCGACTGGAGGCTGCAGATGAGTATAAGGGCTTTGAACTGGTCTTCCGACAAAGACTTCAACCGAAAGCGTTCGCATTCACGGTTGACGATGCCCACGTGCGTAAGAAAATCATCATCTTCGTTCATAATTAGCTTCAAACATCGATAACGAGTATTAAATAGTGACGAGTTGTCTCCAAAGTGTTGGCTTAAAGTCTGGACAGTCTCAGAAAACGAACAATCTCGTGGGTTCAAAGGCAGGATCAAATTACAGTACTTATCCAGCTCACTTGCGCCCAACTTTCGAAGTAGCAGCCGAACCTTCCAAGCACCATCTTGGTTGGCGAAATCAAATTTAAATAAATCTTCATAACGCCGGAACCACATGTCAAAAGTGACATTTGCATCAGGATCATAATGAAGTTCAGATATGCTATTTGCGATGCCGTCGACTGATGGAGCTGTGGTTGCATTAGATGAGCTGGGCTGTGAGGAAGGGGAAATCTTCATGTCTGTCAACATCTGCATCAGTTTCAGCTGCTGCTCAAGTAATAATTCTAGTTTGGCAGGATCCATATTTCCAAAAGCACCGTCGCCACTGATAAGTTCGTCACTTAGTATGCTTGAGGCTATTACGAGTTTACCTTAGTCGATAAACGCGAACGAGACTTTTACCAGCTTCCAGGGAGGCTACCTTGAATACCCAAAATCGAAATAGAAGGCTTTGTAAGCGTAGAAAGTATATTCTACAAACACCCAGCAATCACAGTACAATCAAGCATACAACTCTCGTTTATTTATACAACATAGGAACGTCCTTGAGACAGTTAAGAAAATAGCATACTAAAATACACTGCAGCCAATCACAGCCATGGATTTTGCTGGTGGGAATTGAAATCTCAAGGTCATCTGATCAGCCCATGCTGGCGAAACGTGAAAACCAAAATACGGCATTATCAAGCGAATTTTGGGGATCTAACATCCCCAACAAAATGAATATCCACGACTGAGTAGGTAGACGAATTCTTGTCGGTGGCCTATGCTCCATTTGGAGGTAACAGGCTTAAGTAAATAAGTAAGTAAGCAACGATTGGTTACGAATCAGGTGAAAGTAATATTTGTTTACAGACTAGATAATGCCAACAGATTATCTAGACAAGAAGTAATTAGATTAGAGACTAACTGGTTGAATATGGAATGCTTAAAGACTTCGACCATTAATTTATGGAAAAAGATGTTACAATTTTAGTAAATTGGATGGTTGAAGGCATTCGAAATGAAATCATCAACTTTGATCTTGTGCAGGTTGAGACTTGTCCACCAGAGACATACCTACAACCTTTATACTACTGATACTCTTTTGTGAGTTTGAACTTTAGTTCATTCGGTTTTTGTAGTTCTCTTGTTAAGCCATTGAGTAACTGTTCATATGATCAATGTTCAGTAAGTTTTGTTGTTTAACCGCATAGTGAAAAGTTTCTTTTTACAAATATTTTGGAAAAGAATAGTAAACTACCTGGTAGATCATAGATTTTGTAAGTTGCTATAATTTAACAAATGTGAAGGCCATAAATTTTTATTACTTAGATGAATGTGCATAGAAATCTTAAAACTGTGTTTTCGCTTTTCAAGCTACTGATATGAAAGATTCCTTTTGTGAAAATTAGAACAACACAATATGTAAGCGAACAATATTATTGTTTTCAATTAGATTGTCAACAGCCTTTTACTCTCTAATATACATATGAATATTTATATGATACTGTTAAACTAATCAAGGCGATTGACGATTCAATAATCACAATAAAATGAAAAAGAGATTACGTCACGCTACACATAATAGGCAAAAGTACAAGTTGATAATAGTGTAGTGAACGATAACACAGGTGGTGCAACCGAATTGTATTTAACGAAAATTACACAGTTACTCAGTAAAATCGGAAAACCATATCGTAAATCGTTAATTTGCAAAATATCAATCAGTTCATCATATCGAACTGGACTGTTCCTGCTGCAAAACATCAATCCATTGTCACTGTTAATGCGTTTCATACAAATTCCATTGTGTTCTAACTCTTCCTTTCTTGATCTTACCCCATGTTCTGCTGCCAGACATTACGTTGACACTCACGTCATATACTACTTATAAGTAGCTCGCACCACAATAGTAGTAGGAATAAAAGTTTTATCAATGGTAGGTCAAACGTGGATAAATAGACTTAAATTAATCATTAATGTACAGCTTCTGTTATGTGTACAAACAGGATCGAACTCCGTTTGGAAATGATAGAGGTATACAATATGTCAAGCAACTGTTATAGTCATAACAACTTGAAAACAATTTCAGTGGGAAATGAATAATGGCATTTCAAACCATAGTAAATATTTTCTCAATAAATCCAGGTTTCTAATCGTGGTCTGATAACACTAATCTCCATAACTCTAATTAAGAATTGACTTTAGTTTATTATAATATTTGAAAATAAATCTTGAGACATATTTCATCATTTTTACTATTGTAATATTACAGATAAAGAAATATTTTTTCATGGATATATTCTGTCTGTTAACTGGTACACAACAACAATACAATATCAACAATGATTATCTTGCATCGAATGATGAACTCCTATGTAAGGGGTGAATAATTAAAATTCATTCTACATGTGTACATTTTGTCATGAATTCATTTAAACTAAGCAAATATTCGATTTTGTAATAGAGGGTTTAAAAATGTACTCAGAGAAACTGCTTTGCTACAATGATCTAAAACGTTCTAGATGATGGTTGGATGAGAGTTGATTTTAATCATTTGGGCGTTACAATACAAATCGCTAGATCAATCAGAGTTAGACATTAATACCGTTGGATGCTGGTCCAGTAGTCCAGACGTTTAAGCGTTCGTTCACAAGACCGAAGGTCATGGTTTCGAATCCTGCGAGGTGCAGGAGTCGTGGATGCTCACTGCTACTGATGAGTCCCATACCAGGACGAGACGGCCATCATTCAGTGCTTCTAGCTTTCTGATGATGATCTAACAATGATTGATGGTTTCAAATGTGTAAAAACACTAGTCTCCATAACTCTAATTGACAATGAATATTGTTTCACTATAGCTAGATTTCAAGACATCCGTTCATTACTAACGAGAAATAAGTTCCCATTACATTTATAGATGACCATATTCCGATAAGCTTACCCATCCATCACATGATAACATTTATAGAAAAAACGTTTTAACGTCTATAATTAAATTTACAGAATTAAAATAAACTGTTACTCTCAAAAAAGCGTTATCACATATTTGCCTAATATCAGACCCTTATTCATAGCTACTTGTTTAAAAAGTGTATCTGAACATATACATTGGATGTTTGATTAATCAATATTGAATATTTTTCATTTTAACATGAATATCTACATCAACAGAATGCAATATAATCGCTTGATTCATTTTCGAATAATCAGTATTAGTGGATGGAAATACTAGTGTAGTAGTGTATGCGTAAATATGTCGAAGTCACATGGTTTGTTCCAGCCTGTGGACAAATTAAATTAGTCCATTCTACTGCAATAATTCTTATGTCTTTTGACCTAGTCAATCATTCACTAATAAACTTGGTTGTTTTTATTTGAGTGCATGCTTATTTCGTCTATTACACGTCTAGCTTACTTTAGTCTGATAATAAATACTTGTTCATGCCTCATCGGATTGAGTTCGTTCACTCTCTTTCTCCACTTTGCCTCGATTTGTTTGTACGCTCTATATTCTCATGTCTACATGCTTAAATGATTACATGAAATAAACTCATCCAACTGAATTTGTATTCGGATTCTTATTATCACTGTCACACGAACATGGTTCACGTAAGTCTGAAATACAGAAAACGACAGGGAAATTTATTTCATTGCATATTCAATCATTCGGCTTAATTCGGAGTAAGATCACAGGCCATTAAACTAGAAATTTCTTTTGTAAACTATGTTGAGGATGTTAGATCCCCAGAAATCACTTGATAAAAGTCCTAATTTTGGATTTTATTTTTTCGAGCATGATCTGATCAGTTGACCTTGACATCAAATCTCCCACTCCGGAAAATCCTTGGTTGTTATTGGTTGATGTATTATTTTAGTACGCTATTTTTGTTACCATCGCAAGGACCTTTCTATCATATGTAAATAAACTCCATTTGTGTGCTTTTGGACCTCGACTTTTCGAATGCTTGTAGAATACACATTCTACATCTGATCAAGACTTCTTGACCTACTTAGTGGGGTCTTGGGACGCGTGGATTAGAGTAGCCTATCGTTTCACTGGATCATTTGTCTTTGCTCTCGTTTACCAACTAAGGTGAACTCTTAATAGTTTCAAGCAAATCAATTGACGATCATCGCAAACTACTACTATACAATTGCTAGTCTTCTTCACTAGAATATATCTTGTTACTTTTCTAATCTGTCACATATCCTATAGAGGTGTAATAGTCAAAATATACTGGAAAAAGGTGAATATAACAAGCTAGTACATATACTAGTTATATGTTCATCAACGTTTACTTTGTACAGTATTTATGCCAATTAATTCAACTACTAACTTTTTTCCAACTTAAACAACTTTTTCTTGTCAACTTTCAGTGACATCAACTGAATGGTCATCAATTTTTCAGAAATCCTGTTTAATAGATCCAAGTAAACGGAAAGAACAAAGATTATTACGTTTCTCTGAGTTAGAAAGGTAAGTTTCAAATATCCAAAATCTCACACATTAATAAATAGTAAAGCACCCGGACGAAGACACAATTCTGCCTTGTTCTTGATTTCATATGAATTAAATTGTAATTCAATGATTGAGAAACTAAACAACAACTATACTACTGAATCACATTAAAGAAAAATTCAAACATTGTACATTGAATTGACAATTGAATTTGAACTATGTTCATGATTAAGAAATAAACTTTCTACCATAATGAACTAAAGGTTACGCAGAAATATAATAAAGAAAAACTATGAATATAATAACTGTTAATTAATTATATTTGTTAATATTCTTTCTGTTACCAAGTTTTTAGAAGCATCCATTATTAATACTAGAATTTGCATTACGGGGTTGTGAAGATTGTTAAGTTACACATTTTTGAAACCATGAATCGATCAATGTTAGACCACCATTAGAAACCTGGAAGCACTGGATGGCCGTTTCGTGCTGGTATGGGACTCCTCAAAAATGTGTAACTTAACAATCTTCACAACCCCGTAATGCAAATTACCTGTGCTCACTAGTGACTAGCTTCGTGAGGAATCTTCTCCGAGTTCTAGTGGGAAGACGTGAACAGTGAAGTTCAGCCTGTTCGGGTGTAGGCAGTGTCTACCGAAGATTGTGTATGAGGTTGCGCAACTCCGTGAATTTGATCAAGTTAGACATTAACACTGTTAGATACCGGCTCAGTGGTCTAACGGCTAGGGCGTTCGCGCAAAATACCGAAGGTCCCAGGTTCGAATCCTGCGGGGTGCAGGAGTCGTGGATGCACACTCCTGAGGAGTCCCATTCCAGGACGACACGGCCGTCTAGTGATTCCAGGTTTCTAATGGTAGTCTAACATTGATCGATTCATGGTTTCAAAAATGAATACTAGAATTATATGCTCAGAAATGTTACTTCGTTGAAATTCATCAATCCATTAAAAACCATTGTAGGTAATAACTTTAAAAAGTTATTTTATCTATGAATAATTGGAAGTCACATAAATAATAGGGGATTTAATACAATAGTTGATACACTACAGAATAGCTGAACAATCATCATGGCTTGAATCTTAGTTAAGTATTCTAATAGATGATAGCTCAGAACACTAATCAATGTGAATTCATGAAATGGTGTTTCGTATGAAAATCACCAACAAATTATCACTTATTCATCTGACACGTCAATGGACTATGAACAGTATGCATCATAATGTGCAAGACTCGTGAGTTGAATGTGTTTCAGTAAAATATCGATTACTCAGCTACTGAGTTCAGATTTTATCAACATACTGAACAGGTTTAAATTTATTTGTTAGTGTTGTTGATGTTATTAACCTAAAGGGATGTAATTCAAGTGAAACATGTGCTATCTTATGCAAATATGCTAATAAGGATTTATCGATCGCGGTGCTTTATTAATATCACCAATTTGTTTCCAGGTGGTTACTATTACACATGTACGTAAACATGTCATTTGATTGGCTTGAACTATTACGAGTTTACCTTTGTCAGTAAACGAGAGAGAGGATCGATGATCCGGCGACATGACAGGCTACTCTAATCCGACTGTCCCAACACCGCCGTTGAGTAAAAGAAAAAGACTTGATGTAAAGTAGAACCTGTATTCTACAAACATCCAGAAAGTACGAGGTTCGAGTCCAGAAGAGAATCAGGATCCCGGACTAAGGATCCGGGTCCGGGTCATAAAACGTTATAGATAATGCGTATTTATACATTTAGGTTGAATAGGAAACAACACTGAAATCTGTGACAACATTTGGATGACCAATCGGAAACAACATTGAAGTGCGTGACATTGATAGTTAGGACGTCCATAATATTGACGAGTAGTAATTGACCAATAGAACTAGACTTACAAGAATAATATCCTAACAGTTACTGCCTCACATCCGACGGGGTTGAACTCCACTGGTCACGACTCCCCACTAGAACTCTGGGAATCCCTCTCTAAGCTAGTTACTAATGAGCACACAGTAAGACACTAACGACACTAACGTCTCAGAGGTCTAGAGGTTAACCGTTCGTGTGTGAAACCAAAGGTCCCTGCTTTGATTCCCGCGAGCAGTGCCGACGATGAGTCCTATACTAGAAAGAAACGGCGGTCCAGTTTTTACAGATTTCCAATTGCAGTTTAACAATGATCGATCCATAATTTCACTGAAACTCAACTCTCTGCATAGCTCTATCATGAAAATTGTAACCTGATTAATTTATACAAGATAAACAGATATTGCAAGATGATTGTTTTCTTTATTACTGAATTTACACTGTAGATTACGTAATACTGAAGATCGTCTCATGAAAATGCAACATCAATTAGACATTTATAAAATTAGATTAAAAGAAGCATCCGATGAAATTTCGCATAGTAAACGTTTAATTAGTCAATATGCTCCAAAGAAAGATTATTTACCTGATAAGGTATGTTTACAAACAGATTTTGGTTTAGATCATTAAATCAGTTCAATTATCAAGTGTTGTTATCCCAATAGGTTTAACATTATCCACCCTAAGGAATGCAGTTATGTCAATGAGTGAAGTTATGATAATTGTATTGAACTCATTGAAATTTAATTCTATCCAAACAATTCCTTGAATATATCACATGAATGAGTGGCAGTTAGTACACTTATTCATTTTTTGAAATTAACTGTTTGACACTAAAGAGAAAATGACAAAAGTTATATATTTCACTTCTTACAGTGTATTAATCAAAATTCGCATTACGGGGTTGTGAAGATTGTTAAGTTACACATTTTTGAAACCATGAACCGATCAATGTTAGACTACCATTAGAAACCTGGAAGCACTGGACGGCCGTTTCGTCCTGGTATGGGACTCCTCAGCAGTGCGCATCCACGACCCCTGCACCCCGCAGGATTCGAACCCAGGACCGTTAGATACCGGCTCAGTGGTCTATCGGTTAGGGCGTTCGAGCACAATACCGAAGGTCCTGGGTTCGAATCCTGTGGGGTGCAGGAGTCGTGGGTGCACACTGCTGAGGAGTCCTATACCAGGACGAAACGACCGTCCAGTGCTTCCAGGTTTCTAATGGTGGTCTAACATTGATCGGTTCATGGTTTCAAAAATGTGTAATCAAAATTTGACAGTATCATATCTCAATATACTGATGTACTGTGAACCAATCAGAAGTGATCTGACGAGAAGGCTATTGGCTGACCATCAGAAAATGTCCTAGAAGATGAATGCATATCATTGGTTAAGAAATTCCAATGGGAAATTATCAAACCTTGGCCAATCGTTTTATTATTGTAGTTTGTATAAAAATCTGATTCACATGTAGATAACATTTTAATGTACGATCAATTATTGTACTGCAGTGATTTATTCATAAATGTAATCAGCTAGCCTTTCAATATACTACTGAACACTAGTTCATGGTTTTAAATATAATTGCTCTGTAAATGTTGACAAAGTAATAATAAGATCAAATTAACCACATTTGGAAACCTAAAAGGATTGGACAACCGTTTTTTTCTATGGTGGGACTTGTTGGCAGTGCGCATCCACAAACCTTCGAAAATGAATCGAAATCAGGACCTTCAGTCTCGTACGCGAACGCTTAGGTCTTCTGATATCAGACATTGATACCTTTGGATGCTGGCTCAGTTTTACAGATGTTACACATTGACTAGCGAGACCAACGGCCTTAGGTTCGATTCCCACTTGTGAGTAGTGGATGTGGATTGTTGGTAAATCCTTTCTATAGAACAAAAAGGCTATTCACTATTTCTAGGTTTCCAATGCTTTTCCAATAATATTGATCCGTTCATGATTTCAATCAAACTCCACAATCTTCACAACCCGAATTTCTAAACGTACTTTTTGATGATATTACATTCTTTGATTAAGTTGGTTTGATCATGAAGTTTTCATCATTACCAAGATTTGACTTGATAATTTCAAGTCAATTGAACATAGACCCGGTGAACTGTTATTTCCAGATTGCTTAGTTAAAAGAAGTGCAAATGAAATTATAGATTTAAGTATATAACCTGAAAACCAATACACGATTATCGTTAAATTGAATTCAGTTCAGCACATCCATTCAATACAAAAATCTCTCTGAACTTACTTAAATCTCTTTAGAAGAGCAACCAAACTCATTGATTTTCCGATAACCATTGTTCAACATATAAGAAAACGAAACGATTGACCTCTATAATATTTAACTAGGGTTATGGAGATTAGTGTTTCTGTACATTTGAAATCATCAACCAATCATTGTTAGATCACCATTAGGAACCTGAAAGCACTGAAAGACGGCCTTTTCATCCTGGTATGGAACTCACCAGTGGCAGTGCGCATTCTTGACTCCCGCACCTCTCAGGATTCGAACCCGGGACCATCCGTCTTGTGCGCGAACGCCTGACCTCTGAAACACTAAGCCGGCATCCAACGGTATTAATGTCTAACTCTGATTGATCTAGGGATTTTGTGCGATCTCACCCATTTGTCTTTAGTAGTTACTGCCTACACCCTTCAGGATTCCACTCCACTGGTCACGTATTCTCATTAGAACTCCGAGAATTCCCTCACGAATTTCCTCACTGTTATCATTATTGTCTATTCGTTCACTGTCAGCATATTCATTTGATTGCCTTATTCCTTGATCTAAATCCTTGCCTTATGGTGTGTTCTTTTTTTCTATTTGGTTTGACAAATAGGATTTTTATTTTATTATGGTGCTTGTCTACTACTGCTGACTAATCTGACTGTCGAAGTATTATATATATTCGCTGGATTTATTTTTATTGCTCCTCTGTGTCAGAACTCTGCACTCTTTCTCTGCTGAAAATGTGGCCCAAATTCGTTTACGTGCATAAAATGAAAATACCTCCGAATGTTTGGTGATAGTGTTAATTATTGATATTCATTCAGATGAAATTGTATCTGCTTTATTGATTACATGTTGATATTTATTGAAGTAAAACAACATTACTGTTCTGTTACGCATGCACGTAAACATGTCATTTTGATATGCTTGAACTATTACGAGTTCACCTTAGTCGGGAAATAAGAGCGAGGATCGAGGATCCGGCGACACGACAGGCTACTCTAATTCGAATGTTTCAACCCCCCCCCCACTGAGTAAAAGAAGGAGGCTTGATATGAAGTAGAACCTGTATTCTACAAACATCCAGGAAAGTACGAGGTCTGAGTTCAGAAGAGAATCAGGATCCCGGACTAGGGATCCGGATCCGGGTCATAAAATATTATAGACTATGCGTATTTATATATTTAGGTCGAATAGAAAACAGCATCGAAGTTTGTGACATTGACAGTTAGGGCAACCTATAGAACAAAAATAATCGAAGTGACAGTGATACTCAGGATGACCAATCAGAAACAACATTGAAGTACATGACATTGATATCGAGGACGATCATAATATTGACCAATAGGAATCGACCAAATAGAATTTACACCTTAAAAAATGATTCTTCGTAGAATATTTGGTGAATATCCTAACATGCTCATTTAAACGTTTGATTGTGATAATAAGAAAATAATTAATCCATTTTATTTATTTATTTAATATTTCATGAAGGTTGACGAACTCATTGATCCCATGATGAATAATTCATCAATAAGCCGAGTGAAATGGAAATCGAATTTGCATAAACTAACACTATTAAAGAATGTTGCACAGAATTATTTTGGCGTAAATACTGCTGGCAGTTCGAATTCTTTCAAACAGTCGCAAATTATGCAAACTGAAAACGATTGAAACGATTAAATAAAAATCAAAGAAAATAGTAGTTTGAAATATAGTAATTTTTTTAGCAACTCGATCATTTAATTTTATATTAAAATTGTGTTTTTCTTTTTTTTACTAGTTGTCTTTGTTTTTCAAAGCCAAATAAAATCAAATTACTTACTTTCTTACTTACGCCTGTAACCCACAATGGAGCATAGGCCGCTCACCAGTTTTCTCCAACCAACTCTGTCCTGGGCTTCCCTTTCCAGTTCCACCCAATTTTTGTTCATCCTTCTCACATCTTTCTCTATTTCTCGGCGAAATGTGTTCCTTGGCCTTCCTCTTTTCCATATGCCTTGAGAGTTCCATGTGACGGCTTGTCTCGTGACACAGTTAGGTGCTTTCCGCAATGTGTCCTATCCACTTCCACCACTTCTTCCTGATTTTCTCCTCCACTGGAATCTGGTTTGTTTTCTCCCACAGTACGTTGTTGCTGATGGTGTCTGGTCAACGAATCCGAATTATTTTGCATAGACAACTGTTAATAAACACTTGTATCTTCTGGATGATGGCTTTGGTAGTTCTGCAAGTTTCCGCTCTATACAGTAGAACTGTCTTGACATTTGTATTGAAAATCATGATTTTGGTGTTGATGGATATTTGTTTTGAGTTCCAGATATTTTTCAACTGTAGAAATGCAGCCCTCGCTTTGCCAATCCGCGCCCTCACATCTGCATCCGATCCACCTTGATTGTCGATGATGCTGCCAAGATATGTAAAGTTGTCAAGGTCTTCCAAAGAATCTCCACCAAGAGTGATTTGGTTGGTGCCTGTTGTGTTGCATCGGAGAATTTCGCCTTTCCCTTTATGTATGTTGAGACCTACTGCTGCAGAGGCTGCTGCTACACTGGTCGTCTTCTCTTGCATTTGTTGTTGAGTGTGCGATAGAAGAGCCAGATCATCTGCGAAGTCCAGAAAGTCCAGCTGAGTCCTAACTGTCCATTGGATACCGTGCTTCCCTTCAGATGTCGACGTCTTCATAATCCAGTCGATCACCAGGAGAAAGAGAAAACGTGAGAGTAAGCAACCTTGCCTGACACCGGTCTTCACCTCAAAAGAGTCTGTCAGCTGTCCTCCGTGTACGATTTTGCAGTTGAATCCATCATAAGAATTCCGTATGATGGTAACTATTTTCTCAGGCACCCCGTAGTGTCGAAGAAGCCTCCACAGTGTGTTTCCTCTGTCCACGCTATCGAATGCTTTCTCGTAGTCGATGAAGTTGATGTGGTGAGTTCCATTCAATTGATTGTTCCACAATGATCCGTAATGTAGCAATTTGGTCAGTACACGATCGATCCTTGTACGAAATCCTGGCCTAGTCTGATCTTCGAAGTTAGCAGGCGTTCTACGAAGTCCTCTTCATTATCTGTTTAACAATGCCCTGTTGAAGACTTTGCCTGGTATTGAAAGAAGAGTGTTGCCTCTGTAGTTCTCACACTTGGTATTTTGATCAAATGAAAACAAATAGTTTAACTGGAATATATGTGCGTCATGTCAAAAACCAGTTTCATGACTTTGTATACACGCACTGATTCTAAACCCAGGGACTACCAATAAAATCCGCGCAACCGAATTCGGACTTCGATGTGTTCGGCTAAATGGGTGGATATCTTCGACCTCATCACCAGAAAATTCAAGTACTAATACCTCTTCATGCGCCAAATGCTTTTCAGTGTTGCGCTGCCTGAGATCATTTTATGTTTTGAACTATAGAAATGCTTCGATCTACGCAAAGTCTTATACTTATAATAATAATCATGTGCTTAAAACTGATTAGTCTCAAGATGCGACGGTTCCAGAAGTTCTGATGAGAAGCCGAGATAGTTGTCCATCACAGAATATAAAAGATAGTCACGTATTATCGTGAATTAATTAACGTCAGACATACATATCATAGATGCCACCTCAGTGTTCTCGAGGTAAATTGTGTGCACCTAAGACTGGATTCTAAGCAACTGGATACACACTTCTGTACTGTATAAAACCAGTTATCTAGGGCTTCTTAGTTTTCAACGAAAGTTTGACTGGGATCAGTTTGTAATTTGAAATATTAAACTTCGACCATCTTCACAAAGTCCTATATTGACATATTTGTGTAGTTGTTCATGTTGGTCGAATTCTATCGATCAAGTTGGGCTGTGATCACTCGTTCACGTTATTTGTTATTGCGTGAACTTTGTTATATTATGTTAGAGGTAATTAGAGACGACAGAAAGAGAGAGAGACTTGAGCTCAAGTTTCATGCTAGCTGTTGCATATCAGCAGTCATCTTTCAAGAAACAATGATTCTGGTGAGATTTGAACCTGCATTAGTTACTGTTACAATCAGAGGCGTTAACAAAGATGGAACATTCACGCCTGATTCTCCGTAAGAATGGATTATTCTCACTAGTCACACATTGAGTAGTAATATTTGCTGTGTTTCACTAGCACTTATTAAAATCCCAATTCCCCACTTTTGAATTCATTTGCATGAACAATCAGTATCTTCAATAAAGCTAATACTTTTAATAGCATTAGCTGTTGAGAAATCACAGAAAAATATTTAGATTGAGACAGCTATATACAAAATTTCCATAGAGAAATTTTACAAACTTTCATTTGTGGAAAGTACAATTCGTCTAATGATGATAATAATCTACTTTTTAAGTTTTCCAAAGTTTTGTTTAGTTAAATGATTGTTATAATAAGAGGGAAATTGTATAAATTGTATTGGTCTTACGATCAATTGCTGAATTTATTCCCTGATTGTTGGTTGGCAATACTTCAAGTGGTGTCCGTCAGCGCTGTCCACTAACTCCATTCTTGTTTAACTTTTTCGTAGATATGCTTTTAGAGTTAACGTTATCTTCGTCTGAATGTTTAGTGGTGGATCTTCTACCAAGACACTCGTTTGTTGACCTAGTTCTGTTTGGTGAAGACGCTGACAAAATGAAGATTCTTCTGACTTCAATAAACAACAATGCAAGCATATTCTGGATGCGATTCTCACCGTCAAATATCCAAATGTTATTTCAAGATTGGCTTGCGTTGCGACCAGAATTAGTGATAGGGGATGAAGTAGTTGAGCGTGTTGACAACTTCAATTATCTGGGGAGTCTCGTCAGCGTTGTTGGCCTAGTTACTGAAGAAATCTCAGCACGCATACAGAAGGCTCGATTGGCTTGTGACAACTTGCGTCACTTATGGCTCAGGCGAGATATCTGTTTGCTAATCAAAGGACGAGTGTACAGTACAGCAGTTCGCTCTGTCGTACTTTATGGCTGTGAAACATGGCCAGTGAGAGTAGAAGATATTTGTAGATTGCTTGTCTTCGATCATAGGTGTCCCCAAAGCATTGCACGTGTATCCTAGGACAGTCGAGTAAGCAATGCTGTCGTTAGGAAACGAGTACTACGTAGGATTGCAAATCAATAGATGAAGTATTGGAACTTCATCCGTTGAGGTGATTAGGACATGTGTTACGTATGCTCAAACACAAACTGCCTCGACGAGCTACGTTCTGTGGTGCAGGAATAAGTTAGACGAAAGCTAGGGGCGGCCAGACCAAACCATGACAGAAACCCATGAAGTTACTAACAAGTTGACTGAGTCATGTCGGTTGGTGTCGACTACCTGTTTGGGGTCTGCGAGATGATAGTAATTGATGGTTACAGACCTCGAATGACATGGCTCAAAACCGTTTGCAATGGCACCGGTGCATTTATTCTTTGTGTACTCTCAAATTCTAATCACCTGAATTCCTCATCATCTGTATCTCTTTCTAAAGTTATCTCACCGAATTATACTTGAGTAATATCTTCAAACCCTAATCTTTTCCATTACTAGTAATACTTTTACTATCTCTACAACCACGAAGTTTAAACTGACAATTGTGTTTCTGTGCTAATGTGGTATGGCAATCTGAACTGATGTACTTACGTACGATGTTCTACGTTGTAAACCCAAAGTGAATGTAGGATTAGTTTTTTCACGTTATAATAATAATAAACTGGAGGTGTATCACATAATTCTTTGTATTTTCTTGAAGAGAGCAAAAAAAAAGATTGCTGTACAAGAATACGAATTCATTTTATTTCTCGAGGTTCTCATCAGCTACTTACATCAATATCTCAGTATCAAAGTTAGCATAGACATTGACTTAACTGTTAATACGAAGGTGATGAGAGATCCATATGTGTCTCTTGATGCTGATAAGTTATTAAGGTCATAAAAATATGTTAAGGTCTAATTAAGTTTAAGAGGAAATGTTCCAGAATATCCGACCAGTGATTTGAAATCAGAAAGTTAACAAACTTTTAGTTGGTTGTGTGTGTGTTGAAACAACCAAGATCAGATAAATGATGATAAAGTGTCATATGAGCTGAAGTCAGTCAATTAGAATCGAAATGATGCATTCACAAGTAATTAAAATGATATAATTAATCAAAGCATAAGAAAGAGACGAAAAAAACGGTGTTGTAACAAAATGGATAGAATTTTACTAAAGTGAAGAAAGATTTATTACGCATTCTTTCTGAACATAAATTTGGTTTCAGTTGTTTGACGGCTATAACTTCAGCAAATTTTAGATAGGGAGTCGATTGTTTATTAGTCATCTTGGTGAAATTCAATGTATCCACATGATATCCTGTATCAAGATGTCTCAAGTTCGTATTGCTGAATGCTTTGAATCTCCTTGACTGTAGACTTTTATGATGTTTTTTTTTAATCGAACTTGGGCCCTTCTTCCTGTTCTCGCCATATAACTGATTAGACAGTTAGTGACATGTGAATTGGTATACAGAGTTGATGGTGACATAAAAGAGACAACTGTTGACTTTAAATTATGTTAAAGAACATGTTTTGGTCAAAACAATCAATTTAGCTGTAGCATATGCTCTGCAGTTTTTAATCTTAGGTTCACCATCTCCTTAAATTTGAATTGAATAAAAACAAGTTTTTTGTTCAATATAGTTTTGTGACGCCTG